TTAAGTGAAATAAAACACCTAAATTATTAGAAAAAAATACAAAATTCAAACTGGAACGCTATGCGTTTATTAAATTTATTTAAAACAAAATTTATTTTTAGTTTTTCTATTTATCAATTTATTAGATTAATAACAATTACTAACGCGTTAAAAATATAATACGAGTTTAAATTGATACTCAAAATTTTTTACTAGTATTAATTTTATATACTATAACATCATGTTTTAAACACAAGAAAAAAACTACAAATTCGATTTGGTTATATAAATTAAATTGAAAGAACCTTTAATTAAAATTGCTTTGTTTTTGATTATATTATTAGATATTAAATTATATTATAATATGAATTGAAATATAATTATTTTAATTATATTCTATTTTCTATATTTAGCAAGAAAATATGTATGCGCAATTGCTTCTTTCAATCGTTATATTATTAAATACTAAAATATTATATTTTGGTATTATTAACTAATAAAAAATATAGAATTTAAATTACAGAAAATATTTGACAAAATTATTTTGGTTTTCTATAAAATACTATGTAGTAAATTATAGCATATTATTATAACATATATTTAAAACAAGAAGATTTTTAATTTGGTTATATTATTAAGTTTTATTATTATTAATTATACTATTTTTGTATTATTAATTTAACTAATTTTAGTTCAATTGGCATAATTTTTTGACAGTATTATTTTCATATTCTGAAATTTACTATCTTTAGAACAAAAAGTATACAAAAAAAATTATTAGTTATTATAATTTATAATTAATTTTTTATAATATAAAAATTGAATTGTATCTATTTTTTTACAGTATTCATTTTCATACTCTATAATTTACTGTAAAACAAAAAATATAGGAATTATCATTTGGATAAATTGTTAACTAATACCTATTTTATTTATTTATTTATTGATTATTATATTATTGATTAATATGTTTGTAATTTGATTTTTATAAAAAATTGACAATATTATTTATATACTGTATAATTTAGAATGTTCAAAATAAAAAAAAAAACTACATAATTATTTTCTATAAAATATAAAATTTTTCATAATATTGTTATTTAAATAAACTATTTAATTTTATAAGATCATATTTAATTTAATTTAAACAATTTTTTTGACTGTACTTTTATATTCATTAAAATGATATATTCAAATCAAGAAAAATGTTTGAGAAATTTTATATAGAATAATTTTTTTTTTTGAGAAATTTTAAGACGGTAAAACAAATTTTAACAAATAAATTTAATACAAAAAATTTGGAATCTGTGTTGATAAAACCATCTTGTTGTGAACATTTTAGGAATCTTTTTGAACCATCTAAAGTTCCATGATCTTCTTTACCATTTATTTAATCTCTTGAAAAAAAACTACAAGGACAAGAAATTCTATCCGAAACTATATCAGGAGATATCAGGAGAATGTTTAGATTCTCAAAATCATTTTTTATATTTAATATTTAACAACCGAAACTGTTTCAATCATAATATTTTATTTGATATTTAATATTGTATGGCATATCCATTTGCATTGATTAAAATTTTATTTAATATTATTTATATATTGTTTTAATATTGCATTAGCTAACATTCCATTATTTTAATTTCAAACATATGACAGCAAAATTAAATTTTACATAAAAAATAAACAGGTTTACTCTCATATTAGAGTAACATTTTAGATTTAATGTTAAATACTCAAATATCCGCAAAAGTACTGAATGTCTTGAAAAAAAATTAAAAAATATCGATACACATAATACATATATATATATATATATATATATATATATATATTACAAAAGCAAATAAAATTTTATTACCTTTAGTATTCAATTGCCAAGCAAAGTTCACTATTAAAAAAAAGACACACACTCAAAAAAACACGAACACTTGCACTAAACCTTGCACCTTATGAGTCAATATTATTAAACCAAGTACATAATAAAATACAATATTTAATAATATTAATAATTAAAATAATATTTTATATAATTTTTTGTCTGACATTACCACGTCGAATGTCTAAAGCAAACTGTTGCGGTACATTTCGTTCCAACATCGGCCCAAGTCGTTTTATTATTAACACATGGAAAGGTGTATAATGTATAGTATATGAATACAATGTGTTGAAAGTGTGCGATTCTGATATTTGTATTGGGTTATAAGGGTTATTTGTGGGTAGGACAAACTAGTTGTAAATGCTTGACAAGAATTTAGTTTATGAGGGTTGTTTAAAGATTGAAAGTTTTTTTGCAATTGTTTTTGATTTTTCAACCACGCCTAAAAGCTCAGCTAAAAAGATGCGTTTAAATCTCCGCAGAGAAAGCTCAAACAAAAATGTTTTTTTGGTTTTAAGAATTTTTATTTTTTTTTTGAATATTTTTGAAAATTTTGAAAAGTTTTATTATTTGAAGCTCAGAAAAAATTGAGAATTTTGAATTTTTTTCGAACATTTTTAAAAATTTTGAATATTGAAAAAAATGCCTCCTTTGAAAATGATGAATTTTATTAGAAAAAACTTAAAATTATTGAAGCTCAGACAAGAAAACATTTTTTTTGAGAATTTTGAATATTTTTTCGAACTTTTTTGAAAATTTAAAAAAAATATATTTAGAGCTCACATGAGATTATTTTTTTGAAAAATTTTGATTATTTTTCGAACATTTTTGAAAATTTTAAAAATTTTATTAGTTGCTCAGATAAAAATTTTATTTTTGACAATTTTGATTTTTTTTCAAACATTTTTGAAAAATTTTCAATATTGAAAAAATTGAACAATTTGCCTATTTAGAAAATTATAAATTTTATTGAAAAAAAATTCATATCGTTGAAGCTCAGACAAGAAAAATTTTTTTTTGAGAATTTTGAATTTTTTTCAAACATTTTTCAAAATTTTGACAAATTTGAATAGTGAAAAAATTGAAAAATTTGCCTTTTTTATAAATTATGAATTTTATTTGAAAAAATTAAAATTGTTGAAGCTCAGACAAAAAAATTTTTTTTTGAGAAATGTGAATATTTTTGCCTTTTTTAAAAGTTATGAATTTTTTTGGAAAAAATTTAAAATTCTTGAAAATATTGATAATTTTAAAAAAACTTGATTTTTTATTGAAAACTGTTCTTTTTTAATTGATTTTTTTAAAAACTTCTTGAAAGTTATTTGCTACCCATTCATATCTGTTAATCCTTTATTGAAAATATCTAATTTACGACCACTAAATGACATTTTTTCTAATTTTTTCGGATCTCCAAAACCGCTGGGGCAAAAATTTAATCAATTCTCTATTACCTCAATACAAGTAAAATGTTTTTTGAATCATTCAAATGGGATGCTCCATTCTCTCAAAAACCTAATTGCACTCTTTGCTCCGTATCTCCAAAACTGCTAGATCTATCAATAGGAATCGAATGTTTTTTGAACCATTCAAATCGATTGATCCGTGCGCCCGAAAACGTGGACGAAAAATTGTATCCACACATACACACACATAAATTTTTTCTAAGGCATGCCAAAATGTTCAGAAATCTGTGAAACGTAAATTTATGCATAAAATATCATTTTCAATTTTTGGACGATTACTATAACTTTTCTTACGGGAATTTAATATAGTTTACTTCTTGTATATATCTTTACTTAAAAAAACTAAAGTTTTCTTTTAAACTTAAGATCATTGTTAGTTTTATAGTGTATGATAATAAAATAGATCTGAATCTCAAGACAATTGGAAGTAAGTATTTGTTTTAATTGAATAACAAGGCTAAATATTATTTCATCATCTTCTACAACTTATTCATTTTTTGAGCTCTATTTTTTGTACATCGATTTAACAATAAGCGAATTTGGCATAATCTATATATATAGACGTTTTATATGTTATTAATTTATTCAATAAGAAATGTTCAATAAAATATGCTTTAATAATTATTATCATTACTATTACGGTTGATTTTGAATATGCTCATTCAATAATATACTAGAAAAAAAATCAAATTCGTCCGAATTAGTTTTAGAATTAGAATGTTGTTTTCTCTCTTTTTGCAGTAAATACAGTATTGCGTACTAATATATTATGTATTTAAATTATTTGTCAAAAATAACTAACAAATTTAGTGAATTTGTAGAGAAATGTATAATATAAAGTCGATCATTAGCACATATCAAAAAGTTTATGCATAAATTTAATAATAACATAATTGACAAAATGAAAAAGTGGAGTGTAACTGGGCCGATTTACTTGAAATTTTTAATGAGTATTCTTAATAGACTTTTCATCAAAATGAACGACGCTCATTTCCAAATTCCAGTTTTTACTATTTTTAAAAAAATAGAGAATAGCAGTAGTTTTTCAGGAAGCCTCTATTTTGTAAAAAAACCTAAACTTTGTTAACTATCTACGTTAACTAACTATGTCCATAGTTCACATAGGTACGACATTATAATATTTTAATAATCACTTTCTTAGCTAGAAAAAAATATATCTACAACATAAATCCAATCATTTTCTACTGATTTGGGTAAGGAACAATTTTAAAATCGTGTCTCCATCTATCGCTAACGAATACAGGTATACCTCTCCCATACCAATTAAACACCTTTTGGTCGACTTTTACCTTTTACCGTTAACAACACATGCTCTGCGGCTCTCTGATATCTTATGCATACCACAAATAACACATATAGAGCGATCTACTCGAATAACAGTAAATATATTAAAATAATATATAAATACAGAGTAAAAATAATAAAATACGCGGTGAAAATAATATACAATTGCTTACTTTTAGTGTGATGTGAAAAAATTGATAAACATATAAGAAAAACATTATCTGAATTGGTTCAAGCCTAAAATGTGTACAGAAACAATTGACAATCGATATTGTTGAATTAGGATTTTTTTAACAATTATGCTGGAAGTTTGTGCAAACAGCTGAAGATCTCAATTAATATTGAAGAAATAGTGAATCTTGCAAGAATTTAAAATGTCTAAGGAAAAAAATGTTGAGACGAAAACAGAAGATGAGAATGAGGTATCTATTTAGATTAAATTTTTGCAAGTGATGATTTATAAATTATAATGAATCCCATAATTAATAGAGACAAAAATATTTTTATTTTTTTGACGGCATATTTTATCAGTACTATTTCGTATTGCCATATTTATCAATTTGCTGTATTTAATTATTTTTATTCAATTTCTGTTCATTTTCTGTTTTTTTAAAAGTAGATTTCCTCAATCAACATAATAATGCTTACTACTGTGAAATCTTTACTTTTTGTTTTAAATTTTACATTATTAATCATAAAAATTACCAAGGCTTTGTTATTAAAAAAAAACATTGTAAATTAGAGAAATGAAACGAGTGGTGCATCTGCATAGCATAGTGTCTTAAAGCAAATTGTTGGAACTTTACGTTATTGAAATTTTTGAAAAAGCTTTAATTTTTTTGAAAACTTTGAAATAATTTTTTTTATTTTGAGAATTTTGAAATTTTTGAAAAATTTGAATTTTTTTGTAGAAGCAATCGCGCTGCTTAGCTGTTTTAGAGACAAAATATCGAAGCGCATAAGGCTTTTTTTTTCATTTTGATCCCTAAAACCGCTGGACCTGCCTTCCTAAAAACTTATTTGGTTCGTCATTTTGACAACACAAATTTGCAAAAAAAATCCAGTTTGCAAAAAAAGGACGCGGCGGATTCACTCAAAAACTAAATTACCATTTTTGGCGTTTTTTGCCCGGATCTCCGAAACGGCTAGACCTGCCTTTACCAAAACTAATTAGCACTTCTCTCCCCATCAATACGATCGAATATTTTTAATTATTCCAATCGGCTGATTCGTGTTCCTAAAATAGTCGATGAAAATTTGTATCCGCACACATACACACATTCATTTTTTTTAGATACAGAATATTATGAAATTAATTAAAAAGCTAAAGAATAAAATATAAAAAATATTCATGTGATATTTTTCATAAATTATTACAAATTGTAACAACCATATCTCAATTTTCTTTACATTATATTTTGAGATACATTAGATGTCACTTTCATTTCTAGATAAATTCTTTTTTTTTAAGATAATTTTTAATTATAAAATTTGTTTTCATTTATAAAAAGTAATACCAACAGTCATTAACAATTGCAACGATCTATAAAACAAATACTTTTGTGTTGAAAATGATATGTATATATTAAATGTTATGTACTTTTTTAAAAAAAGTTATTTTATTATTTAGTCTCTATAATGCATATTGAGATTTAATCATCTTTTTGGCTCATAAAATTTATTTTGTAAACATTTAACCGTTGAAAACTGCAACAATGTGTAAAACAAATTCTCTATTTTAAAAATGTTGAGTATGTATTAAACTCAGTTTGTGCTCAATTATTCAGTAGGATATGATTAAGATTTAACAACAATTTACAAATAAAAACAATATATAAAACGATACTGCATCATCCAATTCAAAGCCTGCACGTCAATTTTTAAGCTAAAATAAAAATTTTAAGATAAAATAAAAATAATGAAATAGCAGAAAATGATCATAAAATTCAAAATTGTTTATAAAATGCCTGATATTCTTCCAATATCATTGAGGGTTTCGTTTAAATATAGCGATTTGTCTTAACATTTAAAACAAGATTTTATTAATATCTGTTTTTAGTATTTTTTTTCATCATTTTTTAGGATGTTTCAAGCGTATTATACCCAACAGACCCCAAGACAAAATTCTTCACAACAAGAGACATTGTAATATTCTTAATGGTATCAATATTTACCGCCTTAATTCTTGGACGAATCAACATATCACTAATAACATCCACAATATTTCCATATGTGCACAAAATATGCGAAAAAGTAAAACCACCTTCCTCAACAAACCATCAACCACCAACATACTGGGTACCAGACGATGGTCAACATCTGCAAGTGGTTCACAAATTATTCCAAACTTATGGTTTCCAAAAAAATACCACACCAGAAAATTGGGATGTCCTGTGGACGCATCAGTATCCCTTTACTGTGTATAAAAATCTTGTGAAAAATTTAAAATGGCACCAGAAAGTCAATCATTTTCCTGGTTGTGGTTATTTTACGAATAAAGTGGATTTGTCGACTACTGGTGTGGATTTCATGCCGAAATCCTTTCGCATTCCTGATGACGTGGATGAGCTAAAAATATATGCTAAAGAGAATCCTGAGTATAAGTTTATTGTCAAAGGCAATATGCACAGAAATATTGAGATCGTGGATGTCGATGAAATTGATTTGACGAAGAACACGACGTTCATCCAGAGATTTGTGGATAACCCTTATTTGGTGGATGGACACAAGTTTGACATGGGTAAGGATAGTAAGAATCATTATCTTCTTCTATTTAAAAAGGAGCTATCGATCAAATGATCTGCTAAACCGATTTGGCCAGCCTTATACTTGAAAAATTCGAGCTAATAAGTAGGTTGTCGGAAAGGTGAGATATTATTTTAAAATCGCGTAGAAACTTTACATTTTTAATTTGATTTTTTTTGTAGAAGCGTAATTTAAATAAAACAATGGACGGTGGCTAATACGTCAAATGTCAAATGTTTTTGACAGATGATATTCAATTACGTTTAATAGGATGTTTTACGTGAATATTATTTAATTACGATTAAATTGTAGTGAGTATTTTGTTTGTAGTTTCATTTATATACAAAAATATAGTAAACGGGCCGCAAGTGTTACTAGAAACTCAAAATATCAACTTTTTTGAAATGTTAATATGAAAATGCACTTTTTGGCTTTGTAGCACTCTTCTTTGCAAATCATATTTTTCTCAAACACGATGCTCTGAAAGATCTCATTTGTAAAATTATATCCTCATTGGTATTTATAAAACATTTTCAAAGTTATATTATTTTTTATTTATGTGATTTAAATTCAGAAAGTAAATTTGGTATCGATCAAAAGGACATTTTGTCGAATAACATTTTTCCAGTTATAATTTCCCAGAATTTATCGAAAAATAGATAGTAATGTATGAAGGTCCGGGGTTAAAAAGGTCCACCACCGATGTGTCAAAAACCAGTAAAGTTAAGCATTGTTTAACAAAGATATTTGAAAGTAGAGGAGGAAAGTTGTATAACCAGTAATAACCTTGATTCTTATGACTTTGCTTTCGTGAGATAAACGGTAATCTTTAAAAATCCAAAATGAAAGTATTTTCTTCCGTTGGTAGTTTTTTAGCATTAGTTGAAAATGAAATTAATTTGTAAAATACCTTTAAAATTAAAATAAGACACTAAACCTGTTTGCCACCTAGCCGTTCCAAGTTACCCCGCCTATAGGGTAAAAGGGTCTAGATAACAAATTTTTGAAAGACATCAAAAAAGCACATTTTTACGATGATGAAGTAGCTGACAGTTTTACTGAACGTAGTCAGATAATTGTTCGTTTGAAATGTGTTATTTCTTGTGATATAATTTGTTTGATTTTTATAATATAATTAATATTTGCTCAAAGTCAAATTGGACCTTTGTGCCTCGCCCTGCTCTACATATATACTTTTTATTAAATTTACTTTAATTCATCGAATGTTACTTGAAACTTTTCAAAAAGCAGGTCAAAGAAGGAACACTTTAATTCATTTTCTATATTCTCTCCTCGCAGAAATTTGAAATTTTTGTATGAGCTCAGTAGTATTACTTACAATTATACACAAAATCCAGAATCCAAAAAGAATCTGAAAAACTTGAAACGTAATCAATAAGTCGAAAGACCAAAACAGACTTGGATTAAATGAATTATACCATGTTTTCTATAGAAAGTGTATAAAACTTCCAGTTTGATTGTATTGACAAAATATAGACAAACTAATGGGGGTGTATTGTTTTTATAATACCTCATTGTATATTGCATTCAAACAATACATCCAATTATACAATTATACACTTAAAGTATTAATATTTTTGATTCTCTAGAAATTGTTTAGAATATACCTCACTTAGCCAAACAACGTTTGCTGGGTCAGCTAGTATTCATTATATTAATTTTTGTATCAAATTTCAGGAGTGTATACAGTAATAACATCAGTGGATCCCTTAAGAGTTTACATATACAATGGGGATGTCCTATTTCGATATTGTTCGCACCCTTACCATCCATTTAATGCCAGTGATCTGGATCAGTATGTGATTGCTGAAGATTATTTGCCAACTTGGGAAGTTCCTTCTCTTAAAGTTTATTATAATGAATTTGGATACAGTATGAGAGATTCTTTTGATGCCTATGTCAAAAATAAAGGAGGAGACCCGAGGAAAGTTTGGGAACAAGTGGAGAGAAGTTTGAGGGATATCTTAGTGTTGAAGGAAGAAAAAATGAAGACAGTGGTGAGAAAAAATAATTGATAAAACAGAAACAACTTCTGTCCTATAAGTCATTACTTTCTGTTATTGGATTTTTATGTTTTCAGACTAAAAGATTCAAATCAACACACAATTTCTTCGAGTTGTACCGTTTCGATTTTGGACTGGATGAAAATTTGAATGTTTTTTTAATGGAAGCCAATATGAGTCCAAATTTATCACCTGCTCATTTTAAACCAAACAGATTGCTTTACGAACAAGTGGTTTATAATGTTTTCAAACTTGTTGGAATTGGAAAATATAACTTACATTTAGACAGGTAAATCTTGGCAAAAGAATAATCATGTATATCAAATTAAATTTTCGGCCCATTTTTGTCCTGGTCATTTCTTCTTCTCAAAGAAAATCAAGTGCAATATCTCGGATGGTGATGCTATGTTATGGGTCTATATTCGTATCAGTTGGTAGCAACGAATTTTGAAAAAGCCATGTATTTGCTACAAAATGCACAAAACGTCAAATACCAATGTTATCATGAGTGCTACTTTTTTATGTCTTTTTGGCCTCTAAGATCATGATAATTGGTGCAGTTATCATAACAATATTCCTTGCTTGCTTATATGTAAAATACGCCTGATCGCACGGCAAATAAATGGACATTTCCATAATTTTCAATACCAAGAACAAGCATAGGAGAGCGTTGCCATGACAATGCTATTTTATGAGCTCTGTTACCATATGTTAAATCGAAACTCTACTTTCAACATTTTTTTACATTTTAGGCGAAAAAACACACAAATGCTATCAGCCAACAAGAATATTCTAGTCAATGCAGAAGTCTGCTCCAGTTATGAATGTAATAATTCCTGCTCCAACAAAAAATGCTCTTTATGCCTCCATTGTTTGACCACTAAAGATGTTGAAGATTTGCATATGGCTTATCAAGAACATATGAATCGTGGAGACTGCAAACGGATATTTCCAGAAAAAATGGTAAGAAATATAATAATAATTCATAAATGGGCCCCATAAATAAATGTTACACTACCTTTCTCATATCAAATAGTACTGTCAAAAGTTTATGTGGTTGCTGCGCAGTCAGGCGTTTTAAATATACCATTGGCAAAATTATTAATATCTTTTTATTATTTCAGACCGGAGAAGATCTATCAGAAGATTATCTAAAAAAATATTCTCACAAAAATCAGCTGATCATAAGATGGTTTAATGAAAAATGCAAAGCAGATTACACGTGGTGTTGAGTTTTTTTTAATTGCCGATAAAAATTATTTATTTAATTTTGTAGTCAAAATATTGTGGTCATATTAGTAATATATGATGAGATTATTTGCCCTTAGATTTTAGACTAGTTTGTAAAGTTTTTATAACTCAATGCCAATTAATAGTTTAAGATGATGGAAAGATTTATTATATTAATAAAAATATATTAAAACAGAAAAGTATTGCTAGAAGACAGTTTTCTCTGAGATTATACTCATGCCCGTCTCACGCAAAGGTTACTCGTTTCGAGTCCTGGCACTGACAGAATTGTTATTTCATTTGATGGATTAAAATTAAGTAGAATTTGAAATATTGATTTGATATTAGAATAGAATTAAAAGTTTGAAGAATAAAGTTAAGAAAAAAAAGAAGAATGAAGAAGTAATTTGTTAAAAATTGATATATTAGGATATAATAGTATATGATATAATAAGGATAGTATAAAATGTAAAAAAAAATATCGTTGGTACGGCTAAATGCTCTAAAAGGTCAATAAAAATAATGAAAAAACATTTGCAGTTTTTAAAAAACCCAGAAAAATGCTTAGAATCCTAACCCTTTTCACTCGGAATTCTTATAAATCTCGCAATTCGCGAGTCGAAAGGGTTAAAATCGATTAAATTTAGTAATTTTTATCCTGGAAATTAATAATGCCCATTGTCAAACTTTAAATTTATACTACTAAAAATCGATTTTATCAAAAAGCTATTTCTACCAAAAAAAATCGACAAATCGATTCTTATTATTGAAGTAATTATAAAAATTAGTTATATTTTTTCATATTGTTGCTATAGTAACAATTGAAGACTTGAATAGTTTGTTAGTCATTTGTTTCATAAAGTGTATTGTGTTAACAAAAAGTTAAAAATGTCTGAAAAAGAAGATAAAGAAAATAATATTAAGGTAATTATTAATATGTCTTTATATAAGACTCTGAGAAAAAAGATGAATTAATTTTAATATTTAACCAATTGGTCAAAATTATTACTTTGCTTTTCAAGTTGCAAAATTTCAATTATAAGTATATGACATGACATAAAATTTGCTTTGCATTTTTCTTATTTACTAGAATTAAAATGAATCTTAATAATCAATAATACTTTTCATTCCTATATTATTTTTTCATATTTCACTAGAATGTTTTAAGTAACCTAATTTTGTTAAAAAGCTATCAAATTTACAGCAACTTGCACTTGTAATTTATTTAATTTCAATCTAATTCCCAAAACACACACACACATCCATTTTTTCTGAGGTATTCCAAAATGTTCAGAAACCTTCAAAACGTCGAGAAATTCAAAAATTTTCATTTTCGATTTTCGGCGCATTACTATATCTACCCTACGGGAGGTTAATAAATATTCCACACAAAATTATGAAATTGAACTACCCTTCAGGATTAAAGAGCCCTAACAAATTGCCCTAAAGATCTCAAGTAATTCTGAAGTATTTTGAATTTGTTGAAGCTAATTCATTTAGTTATTTCCAGAAAGTTGCCAACACGCGTTTGCCACCCAAAATACCAACACCAGTCCCAATCAACGGCCTCATATTATTTCTGGCAACGATCCTATTCATCGCCACAATTTTTGCACAAATCAACATTTCGTCAATTATTCTCGACTATGCACCAGACATCTACAGTTCCAAGCCAACTAAAGCTAAAACTCCCAGTTACTGGATACCAGACGATAGCAAAAACTTGCAAGTTGTCCATAAAATATTCCAAACTTTCGGTTTCGTGCAAGATCATAAAGGTAAAGACTGGGATATCATGTGGACCAATGTGTATCCTTTCCAAATTTATAAAGATCACTTGGTGGACTTGAAACCTCATCAAAGGTTGAACCATATACCAGGAACCCAAGTTTTTAGTTATAAAGTTAATTTGTCGATGACTGATGTCAAATTTATACCAAAATCTTTTCGTATTCCGAATGATGTGAAGAAGTTGAAGGAGTATGCTGAAGAAAATCCGGAACATCAATTTTTGTTGAAGGGAAAAATGCACAGAAATATTGAGATGGTGAAATTGCATGAGATTGACTTGACGAGCCGGAACGTTTTTGTCCAAAAATTTGTAGATAATCCTTATTTGGTAAATGGACGCAAGTTCGATATAGGTAAGTAGTAGGGTTTATACAAGAACCGGCATTTCAGAAAACCGGTTTTCGAATTTTTAATTTTACTAAAAAACCGGTTTTAACCGGTTTTCAAATTTTATATAGCAAATAAATTTTTGCTCGAATATTCTGTAATTTATCCGCAAATTTAGTGTAATTTAAAGCAGTATTTGACTGAATTTATTTATTGTTTAATTTTATAGATAGTAAACAAAATTATTTTAAATTTTAATTGGTAGAACTAAAAAATAATAGTTTATCTTAATAAGATAACTTTGAAAATAATTACTCGTTATTCATGCATCATTTTCACATATAAGAATGAAAATATTTTTATGATAGTGAAAGGAAAGTTTTCGAATAAATAAAAATAATACATTTTCAAATAAAAAAATGCATTAAACTGAAAAAAAATAAAAAAATATTATATACATGTTGATACATACTTGTTAATATCAGAAACAATTAAGCTAAACTCGGGTATTGTCTGTTCCGAACAATTTTAAACATTCTAATTGTTTTTTTGTTTAATAAAATATGATTTCCAAAATCTGAGAACGTCTATCAAATTGCTGCTTAGACATGTTCTTTGATTACTCACAAAATTTTCTGAAATAGAAAATACTCTCATACTTGCGACTAAATTATGCTTAATTGTTTTTAAAGCCTGATATAATAATTCTAAGTTTTTTGTTCTTTAATTTGAGGCTTCTAGAGTTTAAAACTCTATTTTTGAGTTTGAGTAGAGAAAGTTACTTTTTCAAGAATGAGTCATACTGATTTAAATTAATATATACACTGGTATAAAAATCTAAATTAATATATATAAAATCTTTCTGGGAACCATTGCAGACTAATAGGGTATCAAATGCTATTGAACCGATATGATTTCAAGAATCAAAACGCTTTCATCTATTTTTTATATTTGGCTATATTTGTCATTTTCTATTTATACAGTGAAAACCGACTTTTTTCACTAAAAAACCGGTTTTCAAATTCCATAATTTTCGCAGAAAAACCGGTTTTTAAAACCGGTTTTTGAAAACCGACAAACCCTAGTAAGTATACTTACTATATTACTTATCTATAGATATGGTATAAAAATATTTTCCAAGTGATCACTTATCTGTATTTTGCAGGTGTATACACCATAATAACTTCAGTGGACCCTCTACGAGTTTACATCTACAACGGAGATATTTTGATGAGATATTGCCTAAAATCTTACTATCCCTTCGATCCCTATAATTTAGACAAGTACATATTGTCTGGTGACTATGTGCCAACTGCAAAAATGCCTTCACTAAAAAAATATTATAATGAACTCGGTTTTGGCCAACGAGATTCTTTCGATGCTTATGTTAGAAGCAAAAAAGGCGACCCTAGAAAAATTTGGGAACAAGTTGAAGATAATATAAGAGAAATTTTGATTTTGAAAGAGGAACACTTGAGACAAAGGGTATAATAATAATAATAAAATCATGCTATATATATATATATATATATATAGGTTTTTCTTCAGATGGTGAAATAATATGATAAAGTTGTTCTTGGGCATCCACCGAGTAATTAAAAACAGTTTTATTGAAGGAAAATGTTTTCATTATGAAAACATACGTTTCGGGTCTTGATTTGACCCATCTTCAGTGCATACAAATAAATTGAAGAAAAAAACACAAAAACACACGAAAATTGCACGGAAAAATTATGCATTGCTGAAATGAAATGAAACAATTGATAAACGTCGTGTTATATGACGAAATGTATTATTTACTTCTATTTTAATTTTACAATTATTTACAATTTGTCATATAACTCGACATTTATCAATTTGTGTTTCATAATTTTTTTGGGCAATTTTCGTGTTTTTGTGTTTTTTTTCTTCAATTTATTTGTATACACTGAAGATGGGTCAAATCAAACCCGAAACGTATGTTTTCATAATAAAAACATTTTCCTCCAATAAAACTGTTTTTAATTACTGGGTGGAAGCCCAAGAACAACTTTATCATATATATTATTATCATATATATTATTACCATATATATATATATATATATATATATATATATATATATATATATATATATATATATATGTTAAATTAGTTAATTTTGATGTTGAGAAATATGAGTAAGTTCTTCAAGAGCATACATCAAATAAAAGGCAAAGATTTAGAAGTTAATCTTTAATTTTTCCAAACGTTTCGACATAGTATTTTATGTCATCATCAGTGGATCTACAGAATGAATATTGAAAAATTAATATAAACTAGGAAAAAATGACAGAAATTGGAAAAAGAACTATAGATATAAGTAATATAATTATAACAATAACAATTATACTTAACAGATAGATAAACAAGAGAAATGAAAAGTAAAAAGAAATATATACAAACATACAAAAGCGTAATATATATACATAAATATACACACAAACAAACATGTATATATGATATACATGTAAAAACACGTACACATATGCATGTATACATACGAATAATACGTATATATAAACATATACATACGGACATGTACATATGTATATATACACATATATACATACATACACATACACATATACACATATACATACATACATATATATACATATATATATACATACATATATATATATATATATACACATATATATATACATACATATGCAATACAGACACATACACATATATAGACAATGAAGGTAACTTACATAAATATGGTCTTACATCAGTAGCTAGCGCAAGGAACATAATTTTGCACTATCATATATACATAAACTTGTTTTTTTATATTATTTTGTTGAACAGAGTATAGCAAAATATTTGTGAAATATATAATATATTTTGCACAGAGAACGTAGTTTATGTGACAGAGCCCGAGGCTGAAGTAACATGTGTTTAAAAATTATTTGAAGAGACCGTTTGAGGGAATAGTTGGCGGGTTTTTTACAATCAGTGTTTCAAAGTATGGGTGAGAGGCTAAGAATCAGAGTTCGGGATCGGACCGCGTAAGGGTAGGTTTACAGGTTCGGAATTACGTAGGTTAAGAGGAAACAAATTTGGAAATATTATTAAGTATCACCTGATAATTTTCACAGAGTAAGGAGGCATCATGGCGTTTATTAATACAAAATTTGGAGGTGCTGATCAGACAAGATTCAGCAAATCTTCTCTGAATAATGTTCCGTTCGTGATAAAGTATACTAGCGTTATAAAAGTCAAAAGAATGTTTAAAATTTTTTATATGTTCTGTTATCATGGTTTGATTTTGACTAAAACAACATGATAATAACTCTAAAAACCCACGACAAAATCAAACCATGATAACAGAACATATAAAAAATTTTAAACATTCTTTTGACTTTTATAACGCTAGTATACTTTATCACGAACGGAACATTATTCAGAGAAGATTTGCTGAATCTTGTCTGATCAGCACCTCCAAATTTTGTATTAATAAACGCCATGATGCCTCCTTACTCTGTGAAATTATCAGGTGATACTTAATAATATTTCCAAATTTGTTTCCTTTTAACCTACGTAATTCCGAACCTGTAAACCTACCCTTACGCGGTCCGATCCCG